AACGATTAATCTGACTATTTAAACCCCTCTTTTCCACACACATGTTGCCGAGTCTTGTTTACTGTTAGTGACATTTAAACGCGTTTTCTTTGTCTGCCTTTGCCGTGTTTTGATCCTTGCATTGTTTATTTATTTGATTCTTTTTGCTGCCTGCCTCTGACCATTCGCCTGTTAATTTGACTTCGACTCTGGATTGCCTTCATACATCAGTTTGCCCCTGTTTTGACCACTGCTTGCCTGACTCTGAATAAACCTGCATTTGGATCCAACTTCTGTTGTCAGTGTTACTCCCCGTGGTTACACCTCCTATATTTCCATTCAGCCCCCCTAAAACTGCGATTACTTCATGAACTGTACATCACTAAATGACAGCTTATAATTGATATAAAAATGGAAGCAGACTTCCGCTCCTCTGATTTCAACACGTTTTTCATTTAGTCAGCAAACCGCAGCTGTGCAGACCATGTGTTTATCGATGGATTGCTGACATATCTGCATATTATTATGTATATTTAATTAGGCTCATATGCATTTAAATATACAGCTCAATATAATCAGCCAATCTCCGGGTCTGCTATTAGCTAAGCATAATTGAATTGGGATTAAAATTAATAAATTTCTTTTTAATATTTTTAAATGGATAATTCACCCAAATAAAAAAGAAGATTGTCATTATTTACTCAACCTTTACTCGTTCCAAACTGATTTGTCTTTTTTATTCTGTTGTATACAAAAGAAGATATTTCGAAGAACGCTGGACACCTGTAACCATTGACCATAGTTTTTGTCTTTTCTTCTGTGGAAGTTAATAGTTACAGGTAACTGATGTTTAGTGTAGGTATATATATGTATATATATGTATATATATATATATATATATATATATATATATATATATATATATATATATATATATGTATGTATATATATGTATATATATATATATATATATACATACATACATACATATATATAACCATAAAAATAAAATAGTGATCTCGAAACTCCATCCAAATCCCTTTGCTTTGATGTCTGTCTGAGCTGGATGATCAGGGATGTTTCCGAGTGAGACATTGTGGGATGTTTGTGGGCAGGCAGACAGTGTTTGTGATAAATGTGAGGCCATGAGGTGGTTTTTAACTCTTCGGGGAAGGTTCAAGCTGTTGGACAGTGTCCTCCACACACACACTTCATTGTTTTCTGCTCTCTTCAACTGCCTGACATCAATATTGATGAGGTTTGCTTGCCTGAAGATCCATCATACCATTTTATGTTGTGGGGGGGAACAAATGATGCATTGACTGAGCACTTGTATGTGTGTATATGTGTGTGTGTTTTTGTTGGATGTTATGTTTGATGGTGGGAACCTTGCAGCGATGCAATTTCTTTCCTTTTTTTTCACATTTGCAAGGCCAGCGATCAGTTTTAATGATTCTGTTTGAGCTGAGAAGGCAACATGCAACTCAATTTGTTTTGTTGCATCCTTTTGTTGCGTTTCATTTCTCTGCTCTTCATTTACAGTCTTACTGCTTTCTTTAGAATTTATCCATGGATATATTTCATACTAGATTTGAAGTATGCTTTCAGTTTAGCGCAGTTTTGATTCACTACATACTAATACATTATATCCTATAAAAAGACCACGTTATCTTGGATGTTTACTTCAGTAAGTATGCAAATATTTGTGTGCCTACTTGAAAACATGCACTTAGTGAGGTCATGCGATAACTTAGTATGCTACTGTTTGCTTACTGCAACTGCTTTGTATTTTAAAAATGGAAACAAACATACACTTTGTGTAATTAAACTGTGTGTACTGTGCAGTTTTAAATAGTAATACCACTTTCTCATCATAGCTGTGTATGTGTACAGTATGCAGATTATGTATGCCTGATATACAAACATGCAACTAATAAGATAGTGACAATTTTGTTTGCTATTTAGTATGTTTAGCATGCTACTTAGTAAGGTCATGTAACACTTTAGTCACAACTATTTAATATTTTCTATACCACAAGCATACTCACATAGCGTACCATCGCATACTAGTATTGTACTAACATAGAATACCACTAATATACCCCAAGTGTACCAACACCACATACTTTTGCCTACAAATATACCACAAGTGTACTAACATAGCATACTATTGCATACAACCATTTTACTAATATAGAATACTACTATAATATACCACAAGCGTACTTACATAGCGTACTTTCGCATACTACTATTGTACTAATATAGAATACTGCTATAATATACCATAAGTGTACTAACATGGCGTACTATAGCATATTGTAATATAAAAGCCTACTAATATAGTGTACTATTGCATACTACTATTTTACTTGTGTAGAATACTACTATAATATACCACAAGTGTACTAACATAGCGTACTATAGCATACTACTACTATACCACAAGCGTACCAACACAGCATACTATTGCATACAAATATATCACAAGTGTACTATCATAGCGTACTATTGCATATTACCATTGTATTAATATAGAATACTACTATAATATTACGCAAGTGTATTAACATAGTGTACTATGGCATACAAATATTTTACAAGTGTACTAACATAGCATACTATTGCATACTAACATTGCACTAATATTGAATACTACTATAAGATACCACAAGTGTACTAACATAGCATACTCTCACATACTATCATTGCACTAATATAGAATACTATTATAATACACCACAAGTGTAGTAACAGCATACTATCGCATACTAAAATATACAAGCATACAAATCTAGCGTACTGTTGCATACTACTATTGTACTAATGTAGAATACTACTATAATATACCACAAGCATACTAACATAGCTTACTATCGCATACTTGTACTGTACTAACATAGAATACCACTAATATACCATAATCGTACCACATACTATTACCTACAAATATATCACAAGTGTACAAACATAGCATACAATTGCATACTTCGATTGTACTAATATAGAACACTACTATAATATACCACGAGCGTACTTGCACAGCATACTATCGCATACTATAATATACAAGCTTACTAATATAGCGTACTACTAATATAGCGTACTGTTGCATACTACTATTGTACTAATTTAGAATACTACTAAAATATACCACACGCATACTAACATAGAGTACTATGGCATGCTACTAATACACCACAAGCATACTAACACATCATACTATTGGCTATAAATATTCCACAAGTGTACTAACACAGCATACTATCCCATACTACCATTGTACTAATATAGAATACTATTATATTATAACACAAGAATACTAACATAGTGTACTATGGCATACTACTAATATACCACAAGTGTACTAACACAGCATACTATCACATACTACGATTGTACTAATATAGAATACTATTATAATATAACACATGTCTATTAACATAGTTTACTATGGAATACTACTAATATACCACAAGCGTACTAACACACCACTGGTGGTGGTGTGGAGAGACCCCCCCAACCCCATAATTGTAAAGCGCTTTGGGTGTATGGCCATGCACAATAAATGCGCTAACATTACATTACATACATTACAGCATACTATCACATACTACAATTGTACTATTATAGAATACTATTATAATATAACACAAGAGTACTAACATAGCATACTATTGCATACTATAATATACAAGCTCACTAATATAGCATACTCGGCAGGAGACGCACGATTTCCGGGAGATTATCATTCATTTGCGGGCATCCGGGTAGTCTCTATGCATTTGCGGGATACTCCCACAACTTCCAGGAGACTTGGGATGTCTGTATTGCATACTACTAATATACCACAAGTGTACTAACATAGCGTACTATTGCATACTACTATTGTGCTAATATAGAATACTACTATAATACACAAGTGTTCTAACATAGCGTACTATTACATGCTACTATCGTGCTAATATAGAATACTACTATAATGCACAAGTGTTCTAACATAGCATACTATTGCATGCTACTATTGTGCAAATATTAAATACTACTATAATACACAAGTGTTCTAACATAGCGTACTATTGCTTGCTACTATTGTGCTAATATAGAATACTACTATAATATACCGCAAGCATACTAACATAGTGTACTATTGCATACTACTGTTGTGCTAATATAGAATACTACTATAATATAGTGTACTAAATTAGTGTACTACTGCATACTACTTATATACCACAAGCAGACTAACAGAGCATATTATTGCATACAAACATATCACAAGTGTACTAGTGTAATAATATAGAATACTACTATAACATACTGTACCACCAGCATACTAACATAGGATACTATTGCTCACTACTATAACATACAAGTGTACTAACATAGCGTACTATTGCATGCTGCTATTGTGCTAATATAGAATACTACTATAATACACAAGTGTTCTAACATAGCGTACTATTGCATGCTACTATTGTGCTAATATAGAATATTACTATAATATACCGCAAGCATACTAACATAGCGTACTATTGCATACTACTATTGTGCTAATATAGAATACTACTATAATATAGTGTACTAAATTAGTGTACTACTGCATACTACTTATATACCACAAGCAGACTAACAGAGCAGACTATTGCATACAAACATATAACAAGTGTAATAGTGTAATAATATAGAATACTACTATAATATACTGTACCACCAGCATACTAACATAGGATACTATTGCATATTACTATAACATACAAGTGTACTAACATAGTGTACTATTAAACACGACTATTATATTAATATAGAATACTACTATAACACACCACAAGCTTACTAACATAGAATACTACCATAATACATAAGCAAATACTGCTATTCAATACCAAACACTCTCCTGACTACCTGAACAGTCTGTGGTTATTAATTAAAATTGCTGTTGAATGAATCAGAGCGGTTGACCGCTATGAACATCCCGTAGTGTTTAGTATGCAAACGTGTTCTGTGTTTCTCTTCTTCAGGATGATTTCCTCTACAGCGTGTCTGTGATCAGTGGGGTGGTCTGCACGGTTCTGTGTGTCTGCAAGTTCATGCTGGGTAAAGTTCTGACCAGCAGAGCCCTCATCACTGACGGTACGTTCGACCAGTGTGCTTTATTATTCACTGTGCCCTGGACATGTTTGCTCTCGTTTCGCCTCAGCTACAGTCTCTTTAAATTCATTAAACACGACAGGGAGGAGCAGCTTTGAACATGGAGAAATGCGAAGGGACATATTTCTCTGAATTTAATATTGGTAGCTAAGCCTTGATAAAAGGAGATTGTTTTATTTATTCTGTGAACTACTGATGACATTTATGGCATAATTACAAAGAAATGTAGTATCTAAAAACAAAAACAATTGTGATTATTCCTCCAAATATAGATTTCTTTATGAAGATGAAACAATAGAATGTTTATAGAATATACCACGTGTATTAACATAGCTTACTACTGTATAATACTATAATATACCACATAATGCATTGTACTATACTAGTGTACTATTGCATACTACTATTGTACTAACATAGAATGCTACTATAACATACCACAATTAAACTAATATACTGTATTATAACATACTTCTATTTTACTAATATTGAACACTAAACTATAAACATTAGCATGTTTATAGTTGTCTAAAAATTTATATAAATATGTCTAAACAACATGTTTATATTTAATTTTTTTCAACACATTGCTAATGTTTTAATTTCATATAAATAAAACAAATAATAACCGTGATTTTTATTCACAACAAATGAAAACATTTGTTATTTTTACCAATTGTCATTTTTAATTGTATATTTAAATTTATATTTATTTGAAATTTGGAAGAAAATGTTTATTTAAACAGAGTCAGGAAGATTATAATCTGATAATCGACAAATAACTAATTTACAAGTTTGTAAGTGTACTGAAGCTTTAAAAGGGCAGAATAAAACTAGCTAAAAGCAATTTTCTTTACATAATTAAATTAGGTTGCATTTTATAAAATTGCTAATTAAAGTTTATTTGTGTTATATTAATTAAAATGATGTTAAGTTTAATTAAAAAAGTCTCAAAAAGTATTTAAAAAAGAACAAAATTTAAACTATTTAATTATTTAAATTAATATTTACGCTAAATTAGTTTTGACCAGACATTCATAAAGCAAAATTAACATTTTACTCAAAATAAATCCAGAGAAGCAGTGGTTTTATAATAATATTAATAATAATAATTATAATACTAATAATAACAATAATAATGTCATATATATATATATATATATATATATATATATATATATATATATATATATATATATATATATATATATATATATATATAAACACTACCAGATTACTGTTTTGTTTGTGATATGGAAAATCGCTAAACACATGCGGGCATTTCTTCTTTCTTTCTGTTTACCAAATTAGTATGCGAAAGCAGGAGACTCATTAGAAACAGATGGCCATCTCTGGTTTTAGGACTTTAGGTTGAGTCCCATCTCACACTTAATACACTACAATTATTATGGCATAAATACAGCACTAAAACATAAAAAGAGAGATTGACTTAGAAAGCCACTTAGCAGTTTTATAATGATTTGATCAACTGTAGTTTAAAATTACGTTGTTTTTTTTTTTTTCTTCTCAAGTAAGGGCTTATAATGCGGTCTCTGTCACCATCTTGTGGATGGACAACATCAACCATCTTTGGTTAGCTCAATGACAGGCAAATGTTTTTTAGAAATTACAAATATTTAAAAACAGACACTATCCTTATAAATAAACTGCATAGTTGCAATCTAAACAACCACATTCTCGACTAAAAAAGCTTAAAAAATACATTATGTTAACAGCTGCAATATGTCAAACTGTATAGTGTCCTCTGCTCGTTGCTGTATGTGGGTAGAGTAATACACAAGGGTGAAAAAAGCTGGACGAGTGCTGTTACTGGCAGAATATCGCACCACTATCATATCATATCAGCCAATCAGATTCAAGAACCAGACAGAAAGGTTTTATATATATATATATATATATATATATATATATATATATATATATATATATATATATATATATATATATATATATATATATATATATAATTGCATTAGGATATTGATTTAATTTTAGCTGCACCATTAAGCATTTGGTGAAAGCTGGAAAGATTTCTTCAAAATAGTTCAGATAAAACATATTTGTTGTATAACACAATATATAGTCAAATAACATACTTAAAGTGTACTAACATAGTATATTATTGCAAACAGCATTCTATAGCTTAATACTACTGCAGTACAGGCTCCTTTTATGGTATTTTTGTTGAATCTCTGATAAAGAAATGGCGACAGATGAGTGGAGAGACAGAAGAGCAGATGGAGGTGCAGACACACACATATATATACGCACAGATGGACACACACACACACTCGCACACAGTTATAATTAAACCATTAGATTTGTTGGGAAGATGTGCTGCTACTCTTCTAATTAACCAAAGTTGTGTGTTTTTTTCATTTCATCACATTACTTACACTACTTCAATTACATTACTTATACAACCTCCCGTTTAAAAGTGCTTTTAAATTCCACAAATGATTATAAATAGAATTACACATGACATTTTACGGTGAAGCCTAAAAGTAATTTACAGTTTATAGAGGGAAATATTGAAACATTTTATGTGCAGGTCATGATGTTTTCGATTTAGTTTTTAGTTCAGTTTTAACAAGTCATAAACGTGTCAATACTGATACTGTACTTGTGAGAATAGTTATGTATGATGGATTAAAGAAAGTGTTTAAAGAGGCCCTATTATAGGTTTTTGAAAATGACCTTCCATGCAGTGTGTAACTCAGCTCTAAGGCCCCGTTTACACTAATGCGTTTTTAGTTTGAAAACGCATACGTTTTGCTACGGTTACGCCATCCGTCCACACTACGTCGGAGTTTTAGAGCACCGAAAATGGATCATTTTAGAAACGCTGAAGAGGCCGTTTTCATCTTAAAACACTGCTGCTCCATCTCAGTGTGGTTGGGGGAAAACGGAGACATCTGAAAACGGAGGCGGGGCTGCCGACATTCGCCTCTCTGATTGGTGCTTTTCTTCAATATTAAGTAGTCTACACACAGTTAAAGTTCTGCATCCTCTCCTTGTAAGTTCAGACCACACAAGTTTGATGTGTTAAACAGACTCACGAGGACATGTCGGGTAAATCTTCAAAGGGAACAGTGCTAAGGAACTACTGCTATTTTCATTTTGATATTACCAACTTAACAGACAGCAGAAATGTTGAGGCGTTGTGCTGCCTATATGAGCGTCATTTTCACTGTATGCATATTCATAACAAAACAGAGCCTATATAACATCACTGCCTGCTTTCATTTTCAGTGAAAATATGAAACATACTCTTTTGCTGAATATCAGTTTTAATAATCAATAATGGCCATTCTAAAAGTATAACGTACAATACGTTTATACATTATAGGGAAAAAAGGCAGGCAATCAGTCAATATACAGAATGTACGTGGTTACATTATCTTCGCGCTCAGCCAAAACACGTTACCCGAGAACAAGTAGCCTAATAGATTCAAAAGACCGAAGTCAGGGAATATGTTGTTAGATAGAGACAACAAGATGAAATAAATATCACGTTTAGCAAATATAGTGAGATTAGATCCAGCGGGAGATCCTTGATGAACACTCCTACGAGCAGAGCTCTTATCTGGGTAGATAGGCTGCCAGAGAGTGTGTGTATGGTCACGTGATGTGCGTTTCAGCGTTTTGGTGTGGACGGAGAGCTGTTCAGAAACGCTGTGTGAAACACTAGTGTGGACGCGGATCATTTTCATTCTAAAATGCTGTTTTAAAACTAAAACGCAGTAGTGTAAACGGGGCCTAAAAGAATGAAAACATGCAGCTGAGGTTTAAATCTGAAAGTGCAGCATGTTTAAAAATATTGATTCTTTAACAAAATAGTCGACTCAGGGTCGAATAAATGAATCGTGTTGGGTTCTGATCTTTTGCCTGAACGCATCGTCGTCAGCATGGTACATCATCAATTATGTATTGCCGGTTCCAGTAAAACATGAACGCGCCTTTCCCTTCAGACACTAGTGGAGCACATGGGATCACGGCACTGTGATTATGACACGAACAATTTTAATCACTGACAGATGGAGATTTGGCTGAGGGGAATAAAGGATACAAGTTTATTTTCACAACAACACCACAGTGTAGCCAACCTAGTGCTGTGTTTGTTCCTGTCATTTTGCTGATGATTGGTTCAATAACCTACACTGCATAGCGGGATTCGTCTGTCGTTTGCTTCTAGAGGAATAAGCAGCTGAGACTATTATATATGTGACTTTGTCAGACTTTGACAGGGACTTTGACAGTAACTGTTACAGTTCATATGGACCAGTTCTTCTCCCTCCGGATCCTAACATGCAAGTCTAATTAAAATTGTTGCCTCGTTTGCAAAATGTGTATTTAATTGTGTTATAACTTGTAATCACTCCGTGCCGCTTGTAATCACTTATCAATTATAGATCAGTGCTTGTACTGTATCGCTCAGGTTAAACCTTTGCTATTTCCCATATTGTGTCCAAAACCATGTTGAAAATGTGACGAGTGCTTCTACCTTTACCAATTTAAATACGTTTCTGAACACGCGATCCTCTGTCGTCTGTCTTTGCTATGGCCACCATCAGCTGTTACTAAACAACGCAGTGCTGTCAATTTTCAAAATAGTGCAATTTTATTAGCCTTACGCAAAGGAGGGGTTTGGGAACAAACGGAAAAAAAAAAAAAAGAAAAAAAAAAATCGCTAAACGTCGTTGTGATAATTAGGTAAAAATAAATGCATATTGTAAGACAATTAAAGTGTTTTTTGACCTTGCATGCATATCTGCCTGTTGTTGGAGACCCTCAAAACCAAAATATGACCATTTATAATGCAAAATAGGGGTTCTTTAAAGAGTTAGTTAGTTAGTTAGTTAGTTAGTTAGTTAGTTAGTTAGTTAGTTAGTTAGTTAGTTAGTTAGTTCGGATAGTACACCTAAAAATTAAAATTCCATAATTATTTACTCACCATTTACTTTCTTCAATCCTGTTTAAGTTTCTTCTGTTGAACACTAGTGAAGATATTATGAAAATTGTTGGAAACCTGTAACCATTGTCTTTCCATAGTATTTGTTTTTCCTACTATGGAAGTCAATGGTTACAGGTTTTCAGCTTTCTATGTGATATCTTCTTTTGCGTTCAGCTGAAGAAAGACACTCATAATGGTTTGGAACCACTTGAGGCAGAGTAAACAGTGAAAAAGCGTTCATTTTTGAGTGAACTGACCCTTTAGGTGTCGTTTTACACGTCTAATTAAGCTTAATATCAGTCACACACGCACAGTCTGACAGTAATCCCTAATGTCAACCAACACTCATCTGTGTACACACAAACACAAATGCACACACAAACAGAAAATGCGCATGTGAAAACGGCCAGCTGTACAAACACTGACTGCTGCTGCACCTGCTACTAATTACTGGTTCTCTTTAAACGGAGAGTCAGGAAGATTATAATCTGTAAAGATCGACAAACAAGTCGGATGTACAAGGTGCTAGTAAGTGTAGCTTTAAGAATCAAAACAACAACCACAAAAACATAAAACCAGCTATCAGAAAGCACATTTTTGACATTCACTAATTAAGTGTTTCTTCACATCTCAAAAAAGTTGATAAAATAGAACAAATCTTAATTTCATTATATGTTTAATTACTAAGCTTCATAAAAAAACTCTAGTTATCGATAACACACACTCTCTCTATATATTTACATATACAGTTGAAGTCAGAATCATTAGCCCCCCTTTTGATTTTTTTTTCTTTTTTTTAATTTCCCAAATGATGTTTCCCAAAGGAAATTTTCACAGAATGTCTGATAATATTTTTTTCTTCTGGAGAAAGTCTTATTTGTTTTATTTTGGCTAGAATAAAAGCAGTAAAAAAAAAAAAACATTTTAAGGTCAAAATTATTAGCCCCTTTAAGCCAGTAGTTTACAGAACAAACCATTATTATACAAGAACTTGCCTAATTACCCTAACCTGCCTTAATTAACCTAGTTAAGCCTTGAAATGTCACTTTAAGCTGTATAGAAGTGTCTTGAAAAATATCTAGTCAAATATTATGTACTGTCATCATGGCAAAGATAAAATAAATCAGTTGTTAGAAATGAGTTATTAAAACTATTATGTTTATGTCTCTCTATTAAAAAAACCGGAGGGTTAATTATTCTGACTTCAGCTGTATATATCCCAACATTCCAATTTACAAGTAGAGAGAATATTGTCCAAATTGATCAATTTTTATGACTTTCCAAAGCTGTGCTGTAACACAAAGAATAATTATAGATGTTTTTACTGCTGTTGACATGCACGTCTCTGTTGTTTTTCAGGGTTTAACTCCCTGGTTGGAGGAGTGATGGGTTTCTCCATCCTGATCAGCGCAGAGGTGTTCAAACACGAGCCTAGCGTCTGGTTTCTGGACGGCACCATCGGCATCCTCATCGGCCTCATCATTCTGGCCTACGGAGTCAAGTAAGAGCACCAGAAAACACTGAAGTTAACCATAATAAGAAAAACAAGAGCCATAACTCACTTTTGTAGATGGTTTACAGTAATAAATGTAAGTTATACATAAATAATGGCTATTGTTGATCAAATAAAACAAACAAGTTATAATAAGATTTCTTACTTAAAGTGACTACTAAAACAACATTAAAACAAAAAAAATTAAATAAAATTAACCAGCTGTATAAACTTTCAGAAGTGCTGCTACATACTTGCTATGTAAAAACAGAATAACGAAGGAATGTTTTGGACAAACAATAGCTAAAAACATTTTGAATGTTGCATGTTTAAAATATATATATATATATATATATATATATATATATATATATATATATATATATATATATATTTTTTTTTTTTTACTTAAGTTTGGCTTTTAAAAAAAACACACACACAAAATTAATCTAAGTTAAAGTTTAACACCAAATTTAAACATTATAAGAAAAACAAGAACCATAACTCATGTTTGTAGATGAGTTACTGTAAATAAACATAAGTGATACACAAATAATGGTCATTGTTGTTAAAATGTAAATTTGAGGTATGAAGTTATTTCCTTACTTAAAATAAACATTAATTGAAAATGTAATTAATTTGATTATTTACTAATGCTACCTTTGAAGCTAAAGTAGTAAAATAGCTAAATATAAAATAAAACTCAAACAGTTGTGTAAACATTCAGAAGTGCTGATGTTAAAACAGAATAATTCGTAGACAAATAAATATTTTGGACAAACAATAGCTAAAAACGTTTCTGAGGCTGCGTGTTTAAAAAAAACTTTTTTAAACATACTTTGTACGTTTAGCAAATAAATGTAAAAAGTTTAGCTATTTTTTATTTATTTATCATTTTTTAGTTAGACTTCAAAAAGGTTATTTGACACTTTTTGAGGTTATTACAACAATTTTTAAAGATTTAATTATTAATAATTGTAAAAAAAATATATGTATTTATTTGCAACTTTGTTCTTATCTTAATTATACTACGAATCCCTGTGAACAGTACAGAATATTAACTTTACCACTTTTTACCACTACCTTACCACCCTAACATTTATTAAATGGAAATATCATTCATTCATTTATTCATTTTATTTTCGGCTTTGTCCCTTTATTAATCCGGGGTCGCCACAGCGGAATGAACCGCCAACTTATCCAGCATGTTTTTACGTAGCGGATGCCCTTCCAGCCGCAAACCATCTCTGGGAAACACCCATCCACACACTCATTTACAAACACACTCATGCACTACGGACAATTTAGACTATCCAATTCACCTGTATCGTATGTCTTTGGACTGTGGGGGAAAACAGAGCACCTGGAGGAAACCCATACGAACACAAGGAGAACATGCAAACTCCACAAAGAAATGCCAACTGACGCAGCTGAGGCTCAAACCAACAACCTTTTTGCTGTGAGGCGACAGCACTACCTACTGCGTCACTGCGTCACCCTTAAATGGAAATATCATTTAAAATGAAAGTTTTTGATTTATTAGTTGGATTATTTTTACTGAAATAATTAGCATGGCTAACTAAAGTATCTAAAGACTTTTGATGTCTTAAATTAATTATCAAGCTTAGAAAAAATACCGCAATTCCGGTCACATTTAGTAAGTTTAACTTTAAAAAAAGTAGCTAAACCAAGAACATTTTTAGGACTCATAAAAACGACATGATAAAAACACTGCAGATACTAATTTAAGATATTAGCATAAATTGATATACATGAATGATAATTATAAATGCTGTGTTTACTGAAAGTGTTAACCTAGCAGAGCTCTCTTTTCTCAACACTCATTTATGTCTTCAGTTTGTCTTTAGTGCGACTGCACAGTGAATATACAACATGTTTACCTAAATCCTCTGACAGACGCTGATTATCAAACCTTTCATTGGTTAAACAGCACATGACCACTAACCATTTCAACTTATTATTGTGGCATGACTAGCCTAAAGACTGTAATTAGCATTTAATTGGCTGTAATGGAAACAACGTGGTGGCATGCCATGAACACAGACCAGGCATTCAGAGGAAGGTCAATAAAGATTGACACGCATGTTTGAGCGGTAAATCAGTGGTTGGCATCAGTTTGAGTCTGAATGTAAATCTATAAGCTGGAAGATTCTCCTGCTGTGTACTTTATTGAGTCTGAAGTGACAGGCTTCGTCCTTCAGAGGTTACCCTGAGCAGACTTCAGAGAGTTTAGCTTCGTCACTGTGCCAGACTGTGACAATAAATACACAGAGCTTTATTTAGAGCTTATTGTAACTTCTGCAGCTAAATATCTAGCCCTAGATTTAAAGGAACGCTCCACTTTTTTACGAAAAAGGCTCATCTTAGAATACCTTTAAAGGTAAATAGTTGAGTTTTACCTTTTTTTTTCAATCCATTCAGCTAAATTTTGGGACTGGTGGGAGCACTTTTAGCTTAGCTTAGCATAGTTCATTGAATCGGATTAGACCATTAGCATCCTGCAAAAAAGGGAAAAAAAAAGTTTAGATAATTATAGTAATAAAAAGTTGCTGTATGTAAGTTTTTGACTCCTCTAAAGCATAAAAATACCATAATATGTTTACAGATATTTAAGAAACATGCTAAGCGAACACTATACTGTGGACAATATTCTGCAATGAAAAGGTCTATTACGTGCTGGAATGCCATCTTTGTTTTGGTTAATTTAACTCACCCAATGCCAGTTTAGCCAGTTATATTTCAGCGCCCTGGGTTACCATTATGGAAAACAACCTATTTCATTCATTTAGTCGGAAAGGCTCTCAAGGCACAGTGACTGAAACGCGACCTGCGGTGGACAGTAGCAGACTCCAAAATGAGACACAGATTCAGAGTTAAACAAGAGGTTATAAATTAGCAAATAATATAAATATTACGAGCGTAAACATTAGGTGAGCAGGTTACATTGTAACCCCGTTTCCTAACAACACGCTTTCTGAGGAGATTTGCAGTGATAAGCAATTAGTTTGCACCAGAAGCAACACGACCGAAATTTAAACACAGCCATTCAGAAGCACAAAATAGTGCACTCACTGCACTCTAACAAAATGGTAAGGTTTATAATCTAATTCATACACATTAAGCCTCTTTAACATGATTAAATGTACATGCTGAATCACTGGTGTGTGTTGGCTTGCACTGAGTCACAGTTCTAAAGTTCAATATCAAGAGGTTTGTTTTATTTGTAATATCTGAGGTGAACTATCTGCTGCTGCTTTTAGTATGAGGCAATAAACGTCATGTGAAATAGCATTCAAACTCACATTCTTAGCATTGAACACTGAATAAAGCACATGAGGTGTACCTGAGGTGATCATTGTCAACGTTTTCTGTTGTTCAGCTGCAAGAATAAGAAGCCGTTTCTAATATTTTAATTCGAGGAGTTGCTTAGAACAAAAACTCCTTTTAATATGGAGAATAGCCCTACTATTAATGATAGCACCATTTTATGTTCAGGGGCTTTTCATTTTTTGTTGTACATGATGGAGCTTCAAAGGTTTTAAGCATTAAATAGGAAAATTATTAAAGTTTTTTGAATGTTTTGAGTGTGATGCTAATGCTAATACATAACATGAACGTCAGAAGAAGCTTTAGATGGAAAGATTATTTGAAAGTCTTTTTTAACGTGATTCTAATGGTCTAATCAGATTCAATTATCTATGCTAAGCTAAGCTAAAAGAGCTTCTGTCAGACCCTGAGATCAACTGATTGGGTTCAAAAAAAAGTTTAACTCGATTTATTAACTAGGAGAGTTGTAAAATAAGCCGCTTTAAAAAATTACTGTTTCTTATATTAGATTGTGTCATTTGTTCTCAAAATAAGATTTTCAAAAAATTACAAAAAAAATTGTTTAAAAGAAAGGCTTTGTGCTAAAATTCTTTTCTCATTCTTTTGCATTGGATACACCAATAATAGATTCATTTAATGTCAACCCAGGTACTGTGATTTTTTTAGAGAGTTTCTCATTCACTTTATAAAAACCATAAGATGAAAATCTGAAGTTTCAACCTTTAAATAGAAAGATTACCGAAAGTCTTTTTTTTATGCGATGCTAATGGTCTAATAGGATTCAATTATGTATGCTAAGCTAAGCTAAAATTGCTTCTGTCAGACCCTGAGATCGGCTGAATGGGTTCAAAAAAGGTTTAACTCATTTTTTTTTAAACTCTAGGAGAGTTGTAAAATGAGGCGTTTTTTTATTTTATTTTATTTACTGTTTCTTATATTAGATTCTACCATGTTCTTAAAATTAGATAAAAAAGAAATTGTTTAAAAGAAAGGCATTATGCTAATATTTTTGTCATTCATTTGCATTGGATACACAAATAATAGATTCATTTAATGTCAACCCAGTTACTGTGATTTTTTAGAGAATTTCTCATTTACTTTATAATACATAACATGAACGTCAGAAGTTTCAAGCTTTAAACGGAAAGATTATTTGAAAGTCTTTTTTAACGTGATGCTAATGGTCTAATCAGATTCAATTATCTATGCTAAGCTAAGCTAAAAGTGATTCTGTCAGACCTTGAGATTAGCTGAATGGATTCAAAAAAGGTTTAACTCAATTTATTAACTCTAGGAGAGTTGTAAAATGAGGCGATTAAAAAAACAGTGTTTCTTATAATAGACTGTGTCATCAATTTCAAAATTCTCAATCTCAAATGACTTTTTTTTTTTTGCACATAAAGTACCAACATGATTAAAAAGTTTTAAAAATATAAAAAATTATTATAACAAAACCAAAAGTCATTCAATAGGCCCTTACCCATCATGGCCTCTTAATCATTCCATCCACCGAATTGGCTCTATCACTTTCTCATCACTCCACCAATAGCTGGTGTGTGGTGAGCGCAGTGGTGCTGTTATCCTGTGGCTGCCATTGCATCATCCAAGTGAATGCTGCACACTGGTGGTGGTGTAAAGAGAATCCCCTCATGATTGTGAAGCGCTTTGGGTGTATGGCCACACACAATAAATGAGCTATATAAATAAACATTACATTACATAATTAAAAATACTGCCAGAATAATGTTGCTAAATGTCAAGATTTTATTTTTGTACATTCTTAAACTAATTGTCTAGGGGTGATTCTAGAATTGCAGCTACATTTTGCAGATAAACAAATGATCGAGTAATCTCTAAAAATAATATCTGTATGTGTAATTACAGACATTTTTTTCTTAAAAATAATAACTTAAAGTCTCCCACTATACCTATTTTTCTCTGCTTTCTGAATCATACATTCATCTATTTTGTTAGTGTTTAATCTGCAAAGCTAGCAAACATTTGCATACATCTATTTTCTGTATTGGTTATCTAATTTCAGCAATAAAAAAATACATTTAATGTCTGTAGCAGTGAAGAGCAGTCGGGCTTTCAGCCAATTTCCTTGATCTGATGTGAAAATGACTCAACTGTTCTCGCTCTTTCTCCATCAGGTTGTTAAAGGACATGGTTCCTCGCATCAGGCAGACGAGACACTACGAGCGCTTCGAGTAGAGTTCAGATTCTGGTTGATTCAACGCAAGGAAAACACTCCTGTGGAGAGTGAAAAATACACGCATACACGAACACACACACTTCTCCCTGCCTCAGGGCAAAGCTCCCCCTGTAAATAAGGATCTGAAAGGGAAATACTGAATACTGCACACTGAAATATAGTATTGTATAAAGCCCAAGCCAGAAACTAGAACATCCGAGATCTAAAATATAAGCAATTAAGTTGTGTGTTTCTAAGAGGGTGAAAAAAGGAGGCTTTATGGATATTCCTCACCTCAGTGTGATGTTTTACATATGATTTGTGCGGATGATCACAAAACAACAATACATTTAATGTTATACATGTTCAGGTTATAGGGGGGAAGAGGTTTATCAGGTAAACTTAACACACAGATTGTCTTTTTTTGTCTAGTTTGTTTAAATTAAACTATTTATTTAGTAAAAGTGAAATGTTTGTCGCAAATATCTGTAAACTTTCACATTTGACGAACTGAACAATAGTAGCTGTCTAACATACGGTTTCATTTTTACAATCTTAGACATGTAGATTTTAAAATAATGTATTTAAATCGCATCAGAAATAGCCAAACATGCCATTAAAAGTCAAGTATAGATCTCTCTGAAAGTGTACCATAAATATGCCAGAAGGATTTTGATAAAAACGAAGGGTCTTCGCTTAATTTCAAAATGTAATTGTCAAAATAATTCTTTTAAAATGTTACAATTTTTACTTGTAAAGTAAAATAAAATTGATCGACACTCAAGTATAGCTCACGTGCATACACTAACCGGCCACTTTATTAGGGACACCTGTCCAACTGCTTGTTAATGCAAATTTCTAATCAGCCAATCAAATGCCAGCAACTCAATGCATTTAGGCACGTAGACATGATCAAGACGATCTGCTGCAGTTCAAACCGAGCATCAGAATGGGGAAGAGAGGTGATTTAAGTGACTTTGAGCATGGCATGGTTGTTGGTGACGGGCGGGAGAATGGCCAGACTGGTTCCAGCTGATAGAAAGGCAACAGTAACTCAAATATCCACTTGTTACAACCGAAGTATGCAGAAGAGAATCACTGAATGCACAACACGTCCAACCTAGAGGCAGATGGGCTACAGCAGCAGAAGACCACAACAGGTAACAATCCTGTCAGCTTAGAACAGGAAACTGAGGCTAAAATTCGCACAGGCTCACCAAAATTTACAATAGAAGATTGGAAAAACATTGCCTGGTCTGATGAGTCTCGATTTCTGCTGCAACATTCGAATGGTAGGGTCAGAATTTGCCATCAACACCATGAAAGCATGCATCCATCCTGCCTTGTATCAACGATTCAGGTTGGTGGTGGTGGTGTAATGCAGTGGAGGATATTTTCTCGGCACACTTTGGGCTCATTAGTCACCAGATCTCAGTCCAATAGAGCACCTTTGGGATGTGGTGGAACGGGGAGATTTACATCATGGATGTGCAGCAACTCTGTGATGCTATCATGTCAATATGGACTAAAATCTCTGAGGAATATTTCCATTACCTTGTTGAATCTATGCCACGAAGGATTAAGGCAGTTCTGAAGGCAAAATGGAGGTCCAACCTGGTACTAGTAAGGTGTACCTAATGAAGTGGCCAGCAAGTGTAAAGCACAATTAAGATGATGCCAAAATAACTTCTCAAAATAAAGAAATTAGGTGCTAAAATGACTTGCTTTCTTGTTAAAATGTGAATCTAATCAAGTTTAACATTGTTAATAAGGTATCCATTGTAACACTGAAATACATTATTTAAAGAGCACTAGTCATTTACATGCTAGAAGAAATGATTTTTAAAACACTTCTAGATTTAAATACTGTAATTACTCATCTTTCACACTCCATCGAGACAGTAAAGTTCTGTGAAGTTCATCCGTTATAGCTTGATCCAGCCTTGCGTATCGCTTTTTGGTGAAACTTGTAACTGTTCAATAGCACACAAACACGTTTTTTTACTCGCACAGTAACAAAGCCTTAAAACTTGACCCTTCATGATGTGAAGTTGTATGTTCTGAAGTATTAACTTAGACTGTTGTCGTCGAAATTTGGCGGTTTAAATGTGTATTTGGGAAAAGCCAAGTTTCTGAGCATTTTATGTAGCAAATATATGGTCGCTCCACGGAGCAGATGAGCGTAACGTACGTTTGTGCTATTCGATGGAAGTTTGAAGTTCAGTTGTGGGTGAAAAAGCACATTATGGCGATTGTGATTTTTGGATAAACATGTTTTTCAGGTGTGTGGTTGAATTTAGCGCTGTTCTTTATCGACATGTTAAATACGATATTTACCCAAGCACACAAATGGGACTTTTCTGTTCGCACAGTTTCTAAAAACACATGTAAACGTGTGCTTAAAACGAATGAGATTGGGCTCATAATTTGAATTTTCTTCAGCATAATTTGAAAATTCACAAAAGCCACTTGCGCACCCTGGTGGTAAGCTGATGTCCTGCCCCTTTATTTATTTTTCAAACCACAAAAGGAGAATTTAAAAAAATGGAAAAAATATGTTCACGAGTCTATAAAATGGTGAGTAGTAGTGAATAAAGTCACTAAGCTTTTTATTTTATTATTTTAAAGATGCAAAGTATGATGCTATGGGATAGATGTTGTGTTTTTCAAGTGTTTGAGGACATTTCAAGCAAAACAAAATTTGGGTTATTTATTTACATGAGAATTCTGACCTTGTTTGTGGAAGTAATTTCACTCCAACTCATCAGGACGAAGTTGGAGAACTAATATATGCTCGAATTTCCCATTTTTTATGCGAGTATGAAATCGGAAACAACAAAAAAACAATTACATTTTCAGAATTTGGATCTTAAATTGTGCCAATAAAATGTGCCAGAGATCAACTGACCAAGACAGGATTTTGTTTTAACAAATAGATGAATTTTTGTTTTGGTTTAAATCAGTTCTGTGAGAACACTTGGATTGAACGGTGTTCCGCCTGTGGCATTAGTTTTGTTTAGAAGTAAAAAAAAGTTTTAAATACCCGAGCATCAGCTTATTGTTAGCTGTGAACAGTGTTTTTATTAAATATGTAAATATGTGTTGCGTGTTCCCGGCAATAAGAAGGCACCTGAAAAAATTGTAGCGTTAGTTTGACTTATTTTCTAATCTTTAGTTCGATCAGTTTTGTTTAATACAGTTTGTTATTTTATGAAGAGTGTGAAAATGTCTCCTTTTGTGGTTTAAAAAAGTAAGCAGGGCTTACGGCGTTACTTTTCAGGTGTAATATCTGCTTAAAGACAAAATATGTACCATCGGTTGAAGAACAAATGCTGAGCTGTTAATCCACTACGTCGATCTGCTGTGGGATCAGAATGTCATGTGATACATGAATGTATATACAACAAAAGTTGCTGTGGAGAACACATGTATATTTACACAGAAATGTCTGTTGTCACAGAAAAAGTTTATTTGAAAAATAAAGATATATCCTACTGACTCCTCAAAAATCAACAAACTGTGTCCGTTCATCTTTTCTTAAAGTTTTCTCCATGAAAACCCTCCCCAAAATGAATTTAATAGCAACTTCTTTGTGCGAATGCAAAATTAAACAAAGCAACCATTATTAACAGCAAAGTAAACCATAACAGTTGTTAAAAACAATCAAATAAACAATGGTTCCATACATAATTTGGGCTTTGTTCCAATTACGGGCCACATGTTTTATTAGGCTAATCTAATATCGTAAAACGTTGAGACAGTCATTATTATAGCTACAGCTAAGCTGTACAAACACTCTCGAAACGGTGGCGTCCTTTATACTGTAAACCAAATGTAACAACTTTAGTCAACTACACACATTCCTGTGATTTTTGTGTGTCAACAACCACCAAACGTTTGGCAAAACGACTTAGCGCTAAACGTCAAGCAACTATTTCAGCTATACTATTTCAGCGTTTAGCTAGCTAGCATTCCATCTTCAACGTTTTTTTATTATTTCTTAAAGGAAAACAAACCAGATAGTTCTAGTAACCATCCGAAGGCACATCATGAAACAAGATTTAAACGATAGCTTGGCTGAAGACCATCAGTTTACGTACAAACGTACGAAAGAAAAGCGCAAACGTAAATCTATCCGTATAAGTTACAGTGGAAAACTAGAAGAGACCCATCTATATTTACAAATGTGCAAATGTTTACAGAAATCATACACTGGATAAAAACATCAAATGAGGTTTTTGCTGGCTTCGGAAATTAAACTTTGTTCGCAATGTTTGTCCAGAGTATTGACGATAAGGGAAATTATTATAATGATATGTTACACTAGTTTATAATTACATTTTAAACAAATAAAAACAATTTTAACTTTCGCAAATCTTGTTTACTCTGAACAAACATGCGCTCACACTTAAATTACTTTGATAAATAATAGTTTCCTCTATAAAGAATTCTCTTCTATAAATAGTCACATAAAAATCAACAGGCAGAGATAAAGATCTGTATACAAAATAAATTAAAAATCAAACTTTAAAAAAGTTGTACAGTGTTGTAATATCTGGTGTCAAATCTCCGCTATAGTGCATGTTCATTCCAAAACACAAAGAACTAATAATAATTTTGACTTGTTTTTCTTCTCGATAATGGACAGGCAAACTCAAGAATATAGGCCATTGTAAATCGCAAAACAAAAGTAAAACAAGGAAGGCCAATTTGTGTTTTTAACACAAATAAAAAAAACTTACCCTAGTTATATACTCTAAATAGATTTTTTTTTGTACAAAGAATGATTACTTTTTACAGAAATATCCGTGACTGTATAGGTATTTACCATATCCACATATAGAAACCCGTTTGAAAGCTGTGATAGAGTGCTAGTTTAGGTAAACCGGGACACAATGTCAAACAACCAGCAAAAACTATCCCAATTTTTGTCGATCTACTAGTTTTTAACGGTTATTTTGGTCAATAGTGTTTGTGTGTGTTTTAATTCATACTGGCTGGTGTGTGACTTTGCTTATCACTAAAACATGTTAACCTGGCAGTTCACCGGTGCTGTACTGCGATATTTCGTGTGGATGGTGACCAACACTGAAAAAATGTGCTGTTACAAGTTGGCGTTTGCATCACAGGAAAGAAACTACCATGCAGAATAAAGCGGACTGTAAATTTCGGCGTCGTATTTACAAGTGAACGCGTCATTTGATGGAAAGTTTGTTACAGTGTCAAACCGGGAAAGCTTCTTCGGGATGTCCGTTTAATCGCAAACTTTGTTTCGTTGAGAAGTCCGTTTTGTTGTCAGGAAAAACCTGGGGAAGTTTCTTTGAGAAGATTTTTCTTCTGAAGTTTGCGTCAAATCAGTTTTCTTGTGTTGAAGTAAATCCAGAGAAGTTTCTTCGAAAAGTAGTTTTCTTCATAAAGTTTGTTTTTCGGTTCCATCGTAAAGTCTAGTTCTTCATGAAGTTCAACTGTGGAGGTCTGTTTCATTTCAGTCCGTCTTGAACTCTTTTTCTTCGTAAAGTCAGTTTCATTGTAAAATAAAACGTTTCGTAAAGTTTGTCCACAAAATTTGTTTCGTTGTGAAATAGTTTCTTTCAGAGGTCCATTTTGTCGTAAAGTCCTTTTCATAGGAATGTCTGTTTTCCATGAACGCACGAAATCCGTTTTGTTGCGAAATCTTGTTTCATGTAAAAAAGAAGTTTTTTTCTTTGCCAGACCATCTAGTCGTGAAATAAACGTGATTTTTTTCTATGAAAAAGTAAAATTTTCGTAGTCCATCGTTCGATGAATTTGTTTCCCAATGATTTTAAAACTATACTCATTGCCACACAAACAAACAAAACAATCCTCCAAAGGGCGAAGATCCCTCCGAGATGTCCGGTGTCAAGCTTGGTCCAATGATAGAAAGTCATTCTTCAAAAAGCTACGAAAAAAAAAACAAATCAGCAGAACGAAGAACTGGCGTAATAAATGTCACTACAGTGTTTCCTCCGAGCCTGCAGGTGGCAGTGTAGAGTCCTGATCCCCTGCACACCGCTTCAAGTATGTCAGGCTGAATCTAGTTCAGGTTTGCGCAACAACAACAAAAACAAATCCAGCAAAATAATAATAATAAAATTCTCCTCGCTCTATGCGACGTCCATTGTATTTTTTCTTAGCTGCCGCGCTCCAGCGTTCGAGTTGGTGTGTGTATGGGAATAAAACAAGCGCTCAATTACTCTGCATTGTTTCGTTTAATCGCACCATTACACCTCTGGCACTGTACGCTTTATTATTGTCCATTTGGCGCGTTTTTGAACGCCACCAGTAGTTGGTACGAGTTGCCGAAAAGTGCGTGGTGTGGTGTGTGTGTTATAAGCAGTCTTTACACAGCGCCACCTGGCCTTTCATGTAGTCTCTGCAGGGACAGATGCGCGTGAGGGTCTGATGAGCTCCAGCGCAGCTGAACAGCAGCAGGTCGGACTGAAACACACAGTGCCGGGACGATTCGCTGAACGCCGGGACTACAATATCATTGGCTGAGTCCACCGTTTTACACTCCACACCGTACCTGCAGAGAGGAGAGCGACAGAGAGTGATGATGAGTACAGAACTATGGTAATAACGTGATTTTTTTGATAGGTATGATGGTACTGTCACTGTGTTGCAGATATGTAGCAATGTTTGTTTGTTACCACTGTATGCGGTAGTACTTTTTAGACATGGATAAAAGTAACACCATGGCATGCTTTAAAGTACTTTTCAGTAAAGTAATGTTTCAATAGATATAAAAATAAAATAAAATAATTTAATAAATACAAAAAATATATATAATATATTTTATTTAATGTCTTTAAATATTTAACTACTTATTTACAATTGTAATATTTTCTAATATATACATTAATATATTCAAATATTAAAAAGAATACATCTAAACAAACACACACATTATATATATATATATATATATATATATATATATATATATATATATATATATATATATATATAATAAAACATTTCAATATTTATCAGTGATATATAAAGCAAATAATGGTTTTAATAAAACATTAAATATCACTAATGAATATTGAGTTTTATAACCATTAATTTGCTTTATAGATCACTGATGAATATTAAAATGTTTTATTATAACTGTTATTTGCTTTATATATTACTGATGAATATTTAAAAGAAAATAATGGTTATAATAAAACATTTCAATATTCATCAGTTAGAAATATAGATATAAAATGAAATACAACTATAATTTATAATGAATTTCTATTATATTTACAATTTATTTATAATTCATAATTAATAATATGTATATTAAATATTAAATTATGCATTTCAAATATGTTACATTTTATTTATGGACCAATAAGACACTTGCAGCTATTAAATATTACTTCTATCTAAATCGTTAAAATGTAAAACTAGTATTTACAAACAATAAAAGGCTTGTATATAAAAATGTTTAAATATAAAATTCTATAAAAGCATCTAAAAATAGGTATTAAATATGTAAAAAATGAGATTTAAATATTAACATTTTCATTATTTCCACAAATAAAAACAACATATGAGATACAAACAAACATCAATATAATAAAAAAAACAAGTCATTGAAGTCAAAATTAATATTGAAAAAACAACTGTCCAACACACTGATACCTATATTGCAGCAAATCCCTGCACACTAATACATTATGATAACTCAACACAATTTATGTGAAGAGCAACGTCGCCCTCTGCTGGTGAGTCTGTATAAGCACATTGTATTTGTGTGTGTGCAGGTGTGTACGTGTTTTTGTGACATATCAGGACACAAATCTGTAAAATGACACGGGTATGACGGGTATTACAAGGTGGTGAGCTTTGATGACAGTGCTGATGCCCTCGTTTCTCAAAAAGCTTATAAATCACACAGAAGGAGTTTTAGTTTCCAGAAAGTAAAACAGTGGTTTCCTATGAGGTTTGGATTTAGGGAGGGGGATGGGGTGGGCTTAGGGCAATAGAAAGTACAGTTTGAACAATATTAAACAATAGAAACCTATATGTAATGTCCTCACAATTCACAAAAACAAATGTGTGTGTGTGTGTTCATACCTGGCCAGATCCTTGTCTTTATTAAGATGCTGGAAGAATGAAGGCTCGCAGATGAGCTGCTCCTCTTGACACACCTGCTTGCAGGATTTCCCAGCCGGAGCCAGCCGGACCTGCATGGAGCTGAGCGGCGGCCACATCACCTGACCATGACAGAAATCCTGCAGCACACGGTCAACAAGAGAGATGCTCAGCTGCACAGCACATACGAGGACCCACACATACACACACATATACAAACACACACACAGACACACACCTGGTTCTCAATGAAAGCATTGACCCGCTGCAGCATCCCTTCACAGGTGAACTCATACGGCAGATACGGCTCTATCTGAAACACACACACACACACGAAATATGAGCCAACATCCATTTTGGGTCTTTTGAAGGGTAAATATTTATCCATCCATCCATATATATATATATATATATAAAAAAAAAATATATATATATATATATATATATATATATATATATATATATATATATAATATATATTTATATATATATATATATTTTTTTTATTTTTTTAAATTTTTTATTTTTTTATATATATATATGGATGGATGGATGGATGGATGGATAGATGCATAACATTAAAACAAGACATTTAAACATCTGAACAACACATTAAGATAAAACAACTCCAGGATAACATACAAAACTTAAAAAAAATAACAACAGTAAGAAAAAATAAATATATAAAAATGAATAAATAAATTTTAAAAATTATAATAAATAAATAAACAAAAATAAAAAGAGAGTTAATATAGAGTATAACTATTTACATACATTATCAAAAGTAGTCAACTGTTTGACCTTGATGTTTTATTTAAGTACTATTCTCCTGTCAGGTCCACTTGGTTGCAAAAGTGTAGAAAGGGGTTCCAAATGCTATAAAAGTCTTCACTTCCCGTTAGAACATGCAGTATTAACAATATTTGCATATACAATTGGAATGTTTGGAGAAAACAAAGAAAATGTCATTGAATAAATAGTTTGAAGTAATCATAATGGATTTGTATTATTGTATTATACAACATTTCAAAAATAAGGTTTGTGGAATTGATAATCATAATTGAGCCAAAGTTTATCATCTGTTTTTTTGGTATACAGATGATAAAAATATATTACAAAAACATAAATTACTGTTATTGATTCATAATTGACTAATAATAATAATAACAACAAGAACGCAGTAAAATAAGCCTAAAAACTAACAAATACATAAAGTATGTTCAAATTAATAAAACAATATTTACAGCATACATCATAATTGTATGTATTACCAAAATACAAAAAATTGTACAGTTTGAAACTTTAATTGATACTCGTATATACAATGTCCTATTTACAATGAAGACCACGTCATTTTATATTCAGTTTTTTTTTTGTTTCTCTATCATCAACACAGTTAAACTCCCCAGAAAGCCGTTAAGCACTGTTTATTTCACTTTTCTGTTTGCTCTGTTCAGTTTATTTATGCTTGTAGAACATCTCAAATCAATCGAAATTAATGAACTGCTTCCAAATAAAACTACAAGGCATCCGGTTAATTCGCATGCCAATATACTGCAGAAAAGCAAAATATGGCAATGTCTGATTTCCCAAATATACAATAGAATATATTTATGGACTTTAAAAGGAAATAAAATTAAAATATGTTTTTAAAAATACACTTACAGTTGAAGTCAGAATTTTTAGCCCCCTTTGATTTTTTTCGTCTTTTTTAAATATTTCCCAAATGATGTTTAACAGAGCAAGGAAATGTTCACAGTATGTCAGATAATGTTTTTTTCTTCTGGAGAAAGTCTTATTTGTCTTATTTCGGCTAGAATGAAAGCAGTTTTTAATTTTTTCAACACCATTTTAAGGTCAGTTTTATTAACTCCTTTAAGCTATATATGTATATATACAAAAACTTGCCTAATTACCCTAACCTGCCTAGTTAACCTGTTTAACCTAGTTAAGCCTTTAAATGTCACTTTAAGCTGTATAGAAGTGTCTTGAAAAATATCTAGTCAAATATTATTTACAGTCATCATGGCAAAGATGAAATAAATCAGTTATTAGAGATGAGTTATTAAAACTATTATGTTTAGAAATGTGTTGTTAAACAGAAATTGGAGAAAAAAATAAACAGGGGGCAAATAATTCTGACTTCAACTGTATGTACTTAAAATAATATTTTAACTTATGATACAATACAGCATAAAATGTCAAATTAAAGCAACACTTATTTAACATATAACTAAATATTCTTGTTTTTATTATTAATATCACTGTATTTACCTGTACATCACATTTATTTATGTGAAAAATATATTCAGATTAAACTAATGTGGAAATAAACATTTCTATCATCTAATTCCAGATAAACAATAATCTATGTATAACTGAAAAGTTATATTCTTTGGTTTTTAATTATCTCATTTCATTGAGATGCCAGCTAGGAGGGACATTTAACCTTTGCCTTGCTGACTACAGGCTAAGCCAAAGTGATGCAGTTATCGGTTTCACAGCATGGCTGTATCTATTGTATTCCCTGTCTCCAGAACATCATTTGCACATTGTTGTAATGATGTACTTAAATATTGATGAGATCAGACCTGGAGAAGGCATGGGACTTCATTTGCATGCTTTGTTTGACTGTCCCCACCATGACTGACCCTACCTAAATGCTGTAACATGTATAAAATGTATTATGTTTGCTGTGGAGTGGAGAGTTTGCTTTCGATGACGCCACAGCGACGCTGCGTTCTTCTTATTAAAAAGGATTCTTCTTTGAAGACAAATGAAAGATTCTCCCTGGTTTTTTGGGCTCTTAGAAGTTTTCAACACTAACATGACATTAAATCATAACAAACAGATTAAAATGTCCTGATCTGAGAGCGTTCGGTGTTTTAAATACACGTGAGAGAGAGAGTGTGTGTGTGTGTGTGTGTGTGTGTGTGTGTGTGTGTGTGTGTGTGTGTGAGATTGTTTGTACCTTCTGGCTCAGTATGGCTTTAATGGCGTTCTCCACCTCGGCCGGATCTTCAATGTTAACGGTCCAGACGTGCGGCCGGCCGATGTAAACCTCAGCATACGGATGCTGAGACGTCAACTGAGGACAGACAACAAACACATGTCACAAACACACACACAAACAAACACACTTTTGGTGGTTTGCAGGGACTCTCCATAAGCATAATATATTTGATACTAATATTTAACAGTTACGAATTACAAGGACACAGTAGAAGAGGTCCTCATAAACCACCCAGAGAATGTAATACCTAGCTCATAACCATGTTATCATACAAACTTGTGTCCTCAAAAACACCACACACACACACACACACACACACACACACACACTCAAAACAAAACAATCCAATAACTGAAAACAAGTTTCACACGCACACAGACACAAACACAGACACACACACAGACACAAACACAGACACACACAAACCTACAACAAATGTGGAAAAAGAACAAACACACACACACATATGCAAACGCCACAAAAACAAACAAACCAACAACAAATATCTCACAGAGACACACACAGAACACACAATCCCAAAACAAACTAATAATTGGCAAACAAATGCGCACGCACATACACACCAATGCACACCGAAAAACAAAGCAGTGAGCACCTCTCTGAGTGTGGGTTTGCCTTTGAAGAAATCGGTGTTCTTGCTGCTCTTAGCAGGATCAAACCTCGGGTTCAGGAATGCACAGCCATTGGCTATCGCCTCGAGAGGGGCGGGGCCTTCATAGGGAAACGACAGGCCAACAAAAAGCTGAAAACACAAGCAGAAAAACACTGATCAATAACTCCCATCAATACAGGACAAAATGATTACTGTTACATGAAATGAAGTAACATGAACCACAAACATCTGCTTTCGCCATGTTATTTATTATTCCTAATGGAAAACTAAATATGAATGTTCTGCACCACTGCATTTGCTTTCATTTCTGCTGACTGAAATATTTAAGTGATCATTAGTATGCAAGTTATTCAAAATTGTGAATGTTTTTGCACTATATTATAACTGCTCAAAAGTAGTTTTTCATTTAATTTAGTCATTTATTCCAGTGATTTTAAAGATGAATTTTCAGCTCCATTACTCCAGTCTTCAGAGTCACATCATTGTTATTAATATTATTATTAATGATAATAATAATGAAAGCAATAACGACTGGAGTAATAATTTCATTTGAAAACTACATCCAATAAGTAATAAACATTTGATAAATATTAAACAATTTAACTTTTTTTTTTACATTTAATAAATGCCGCCTTGATGAACAGAAATAATATATTACAAAAACATAAATTACTGTTATTGATTCATAACTGACTAATAATAACAACAACAAGAACGCATTAAAATAAGCCTAAAAACTAACAAATACATAAAGTATAATAATAAAATTAATAAAACAATATTTACAGCAAACATCATAATTGTATGTACTACCCAAAAAATACTGTAATATTAAATTGTCATATAATCAAAGTGATTTATAAGTAATAAAATGTTTTATTACATCATATTTATTAAAATAATTATATTTATTTAAAATAAATTATTTACAAAATAGCAATAATTCTTAAGATATAATAAATAACTCCCTATTTTCATCATCATCATCATCATCATCATCGTTTATCACTTTAATACATAACATGGCATAAGAGTGTTGTGGGATGTATTTTTGTTCTTGTTTATATACAGTTGACGTCAGAATTATTAGCCCCACTTTGATTTCTTTTTTTAAATATTTTCCAAATGATGTTTCACAGATTCAGGAATTTTTCACAGCATATCTGATATTATTTTTTCTTCTGGAGAAAGTCTTGTTTGTTTTATTTTGGCTAGAATAAAAGCAGCTGAAATATTTTTAAACACCATTTTAAAAAGACAAAATTATTAACGATTATTTCGATAGTCTACAGAACAAACCATCACTAGACTATGATTTGCCTAATTACCCTAACTAGCCTAGTTAACCTAGTTAAGCCTTTAAATTGCCCTTTAAGCTGCATACTAGTATCTTGAAAAATATCTAGTCAAATATTATACTGTCATCATGGCAAAGATAAAATAAATCAGTTAATAGAAATGACTATGAATATTCTATTCTGTTGAACTGTTTAGAACCGTGTTGAACAAATATCTTTTCTACATTAAACACAAATTGGGGGAGCTAATAAATCAGGGGGGCTGATAATTCTGACTTCAACTGTATTGGTAATAATTGTTTTGTCCAAGAAAAAGATTCACCTAAGGGACACCAATAAATAATACAGTGCTTCCCACACACAGACTTTACTTGGGTGGGCCGTTCAAGTAGCCTATATTAACTGACACATTTATATTTATTTTATTCTTTTGCAATTTTTCTATCTGCCCAATATAACATCTGCGATTGATTATGTAGCGAAAAACCTTCTCTCAATTAAACGTTTCGTTCTGTGTGCGCACAAACTGTCAACCCTCTCACAGACAATCTCATATGCTCTGCAGACCCACAGAGAAGCACCTTTTGTCATGACATGTTTTCTAAATCTACTAAAATGTCCGGGATTTGGCTTTTGCTTTCGTTTTCTCACTTCCTCGCTTTCTAAAGCTGTCGGTAATTGTATTCCCACTCTCGCGTGAGTGAGAGAAATATTAAATAATTATTTGTTTAATCTAAACAACTCAAAAACAAACTTTACTAAATACTCAGAAGACAAAATTACATCTAAACTGACTGCAAAACACATTTATCTACACCATTAAATTCAAAATTGTACACTGTTAGTAATATTTAATCCACTCATTCGCCTCATTTAAATCATCTACACGTTTTTTTCATGTTCATTCATTCATTTTCTTGTTGGCTTAGTTCCTTTATTAATCCAGGGTCGCCACAGCAGAATGAACCGCCAACTTATCCAGCACGTTTTTACGCAGCGGATGCCCTTTCAGCTGCAACACATCACTGGGAAACATCCACACACACTCATTAACACACACACACACACACACACACTACGGACAATTTAGCCTACCCAATTCACCTGTACCACATTTCTTTGGACTTGCGTGGGGGAAACCTGAGCACCTGGAGGAACACCCACACGAACGCAGGGAGAACATGCAAACTCCACACAGAAACACCAACTGACCTAGCCGAGGCTCAAACCAGCGACCTTCTTGCTGTGAGACGACAGCACTACCTACTGTGTCTGTTTTATTAATGTAATTATTATATATATTTTTGGAGATATTGTCTGTTTTTACTCCTTTTTTTCTGTCATTTATTTCTCAATCGCTGTGAATTTTAGGAATTTGATGATGCCAATATATTACATGTTTCATACATCTAAAATGCTTTGGCAATACTGTACTAAATGTCACGCCAAAAGCAACCTGAACTTGAATGCGAGATAGAGAGAAGCAGATTTGACCTGTCATTGGCTCCTGAATACCATAAAAGTGTAGGAAAAATAGTGGATATCTTTATTTTTAATCACCACAGTGGCATGAACCGCCAACGTATCCAGCATACGTTTTACGCAGCGGATGCCCTTCCAGCCGCAACCCATCAGGGACACATCCATACACACTCATTAACACACACTCTCACACTATGGTCAATTTAGCCCACACAAATCACCTGTATCACATGTCTTAGGACTTGTGTGGGAAACCAACGCACCTGGAGGAGACCCACACAAACACGGGGAGAACATGCAAACCCCACACAGAAATGCTATCTTACCCAGCAGAGGCTAGAACCAGCTATAAAAACATTTTTAAAAAATCTAATTATTTTATAATAATTATATGTTTGCAACATATAACTAACAAAGGCGCGTTTCAAGCCTGTGGGAAGCACTGTAATATGCTGTTGAACTGCTCTGATTCGCCAACAGAGGGCAGCAGGGAGACACTGAAAAACACAAGCTAAAAGAGAAAACTGCGACTGCGACAGACATGAAAATTCTCCAAGATGAGTGGTAAACTTGAGAAATAGTCGAGGTTTGCATGTCTGAAGCCCTGCTGGTTCGTTTTGCCTATTTGTAAATCATCCGCAACCCTAAAGAAAACTTCAGTCTTCAGACATTTACAAACACGGAGCGAGCTCACAAATGAAGCGGCTGCACTTTCTCGGAAACTTTGCATGAAGGTGAAAAAACAGGAAAGCAAAAGTCAAGTGAAGCATCTGTGGTCGAAGGAGAAAAAGCTGCAAGACGTGAAGAAAAAAAACAGCAAAACAAACACATCCTCTCTTGCGGTTGAGGAACGTCTTTGCGTGTGAAGAGAAGCTTTCAGATGTGTTTTTAGCATAGCAGAGCTGTTCAACCATAAACACACGCTACGGGTGTATTAATCTGAACCAGGAAATCAAAACACAAGTAAAAGAAGCTCAAGAAGACTCAAGATTACATATTTAAAGGGATACTTCACACTGAAATAGATATATGTGGTTTATTGACAGTATTTTCTAATCAAAAACATTGCTGCCATTTATGATAAATATAATATATGTTATCAAGATCATACAAGCAAACAAAATTAACACGCACACTCTCAGAAATAAAGGTATGCGAGCTGTCACTGGGGTGGTACCTTTTCAAAAGGTACACATTTGTACTTAAAGGGTCTAAATTGGTACCTCAAAAGTATCAGTGCCTAAAAAATAAGAGGAACACTTTTGTACTTTTTAGGTACTAATATGTACCCTATTAATACGGACATTTTAGGTACAAATTTGTACCTTATGAAAAGGTACCACCCCAGTGACAGCTCGCATGCCTTTATTTCATTTACATTTAGTCATTTAGCAGACGCTTTTATCCAAAGCGACTTACAAATGAGGACAAGGAGGCAATTTACACAACCATAAAAGCAACAATGAATATTTCTGAGGGTGTGTGTGTTGGTTTTGTTTGCTTGTACTCTATATGATCTTGATAACGTATTAAATTAATAATAAATGGCAACAATACTTTCGATAAAAAATACTTTCAATGAAATGATTCATTTGATTTATTAGTTTAATTTAGTTTTTTTTTTATTCAGTGCTCAGCATAATTGAGTACAGCCCATTTTGAAAAGGAATATTTTTTATCTATTTCTCAGTGAATATAGGCAATAATGTATATTGGTGCATTTAACCCTTACAGACCTAGAGCTATTTTGTGGGCACCAAATGGGCCTATATTATTATTATTATTATATAAAAAGCAGTTTTATTTTTAATTTAGCCGTCAGCCTGAAGTGTCATACATCATTTCAAACAGGAGAACCTGAAGCTTCAATCTGTATCAAATAAAATTCCCATCTAAAATATTTTTTTCCAAAAAAATTATAAAAAAAGTGTCATTTTCTAGTAATTACAACAAAAAAAAAAACCTCAAAAAGAAAAAAAAACAGTTTTTTTTTCTTTAGGAATAAATGCTATGATGTTTTATACTTCCAAAATAAATTGTCTTCATCCAACATTCCCTGAGCAAATTATAGTATTTTATTTCAACGATATTCTAGGTGTTTTTCAGTGAAAATACTGTTGAAAAAATTTATTAAACAGATATATTTATTAAAATTATATTTTAGTCACCAAACACATGTAGAAACTGAAATATAATACAATTAAATTTTAGCAAAGTATTGAAAAAAAACTTAAAAATACAAAATTTCAACTACATTTTTTTCTTTCTTTTTTTGGCTTCTCTTGATTTAAATTTTCTTTTAAGTAGTTTCTTTTTTTTTTACTTTTTAAAATTTCTATTTAATATTTTTTCTATGACATAAATTTGGCTGCACTAGTTTTTGGACCATTATTGTAAGCTATTTTGTTAGATAAGCTTCAGATTTGGCTTCAGTACTGACTAATCTAATGTGTATGCACAAATATAATATTAGGGTTAAGACAATTTTCGCTCATGTTTATAACAAATGTTTAACGCCTCATGTCTAACCAAAGGGAACCAATGTGGGTGTGCAGACCAACACGCAAAAGCATCATTTGACCGCCTCACGCTCATTTTTTGCATTGTCTTTTTGAAAAATTTGTATGCAGAAAAACATCTTGAAAAAATGAAACGCAAGTAAAAATCATCCCAGTGTGCTCCAACCTTTAGGGATAAAGGAATAAAGTTCTCGCAAAAATGAGAAAATTTTCTCATCCTAATGATGTTATAAAACAAAAAAGTCTTTGTTTTCAGAACATATTCAATTTTATTTTAGATTAAATCTGAGAGTTCCCTCTTGATAAACCATGAGAATAACATACCTATTTTGCTGTGATTTGTTTGAATTTTTTAGGCTAACTGGGTCTATTCAAGTCTGCCAGTGTAAGTTTTTCCATATAGTTGTTAGTGTCAAACCTTGGTCTCTCGCAGCAGGAACTGCAGGTCTCGTCCGCTCAGGATGCCGTGGTTCTTCACGTAGCCAGGCAGGTGGACTGTACTAGTGCCATGGACTGTGCCGTGAACTTCCATATAGGAGTGAATAATGTCTAGGTACTTCTTTTTATCCTAAAACCAGAAAACAAGACACAAACATGAGAATAAGAACATTAGTAACATCAAATGTAATTAAAATGCCCTTTTGCACAGCTTAAACACTCTGAAAATACTGTTATTCTCTGATAATGTAAGCAGAGCCATGTGGGCGGGGCTGTATACTTTTGATCTGAAGATTGTCTCTCGTGTCGGCATGATAGCCCAGTGGTTAGTGTGCTGACATATGTTATGGCAGTGATCCGGGCGTCCTGAGTTCAAATCTTGTGGACCTTTCCCTGATCCTACTCCCCGCTCTCTCTCCCACTTCACTTCCTGTCAACCTAATGTCCTATCAAACAAAAGCTAAAAAATGCCAAAAATAAAAAATGTATATAATAATAAGCGATTGTCTTTCGCAATCCTTCTTTATTTTATAAAATGTCAATATTAGATAATACATTTAATGTGTATAATTACTATTGACATAACTAAAAGAAATGTAAGACACTATATATGCAACAGTTTCGTTTACTTCAAACAAAACTAAACTACAAACCTAAATGACGTAATTTTGAACAAAATCTAGCCTAAACAGAGTTTGTTTTGGCTCCATAACACCTTTGAGCTGCCATTGGACTGAGATGATTACGAAATCAGTAGGCGTGTCCTGAAACTCCGCCCTCTTTGACAGGCGATTGATTATAACCACGCAATGAAACCGATAAAGGATTTAAGACGATATGGGTTAGTGCGACGAGTTCAGTCATATTTGAGGAATATTTAATCTATAGTTCCAAGAATCATGATTACGTGACTGAATCAACAGCAAAACACCCCAGGACGCTGAAAACAGAGCAACAAAACGAACACAGCCTGTTTTTAGCTCTCAGTGTGAAGCTGCAGAAGTGCAAAAGCAGACAGGAACAGTGAAACGGGACTCTGGGGGGAAAAACACGAGATGAAGAGGATAAAAATGAAGCTTTTTCTTTGGAAGCGTTCAAAGAATACAAAGACGCCCACTTCCTGTCAGAGGGAGGAAACCGAAATATAGCTCGTGTGTGTGTGTGTGTGTGTGTGTGTGTGATGTCGAGGTGAGAAAACAAAATATATCTAAAAAAATAATTGGAAACAACAATACTTGCCACACAGAGTAAAGAAGCTAGTGCTACCATTAATTATGCAATTATTAATTGTAAGATTTAGAAAATGAAACTAAAAAAAAAGTCAACAATTTATTTATTATAATAAATATTGTATTTTTTATATAATTTATTTATATTATTCGATATTTAAATTCAATGAATGGGATGACCGTAAATTGAGGAAACAATTAATTAACTGCACATCTATACTATAAAATAATAAGTGCAGCTTTTAAAGAAATTCTTGATTATTTTTAGTCTTAAATAAGGAATAAAATTAGGGATACACATTATTCATTTAATTATAATTAATTTGAATTTAATTATAAATCTGAATGGATGGATGGATAGATAGATAGATAGATAGATAGATAGATAGATAGATAGATAGATAGATAGATAGATAGATAGATAGATAGAGATACAGTAGATAGATGGATAGACAGACGGATAGACAGACAGACAGATAGATAGATATAAAGAAATATAGTTGAATTAGCACAGTGAGTTATCGTATCTCAGATAACAAACATAGGCACACAACAAACACACACAAATCAAACAGAATATCAGTGATCCCCTTGTTTAATCATCAATTAGCTCCGTGTTTTATCGACTAACATGCCTTGATAAGAGATTATGGGAGATATGAGCTAAAAATGTCAACACAGCACGCAAGTCCCATGGGTTTGAAGAGATACTGAAACATACAAAGAGGTCAGGAACTACTGAAATCAAAAATGGCATTGTTTACTGTTTCATTCATGTCTTAAATTGTCATTTGGAATGTACTAGTATGCTTCAGGCCTTACTGCCAGTTGACTGATTACATTGAGAATGGAAAAAAAAGAGTTACAATGTAATAAAAATATTAGGTTTAACTGTGCAAATGAGGCCAAGTCAGTGATTAATTTGAGCGGGATCCTGTTCCAGAAAATGTCAAAAAATTTTGTTTTGCATTCCGGTATTTATTTATTTTAGTAGTGAATGTGTGTGTGTGTGTGTGTGTGTGTGTGTGTGTGTGTGTGTGTGTGTGTGTGGATACGAGGACACGATCTGATTCAGATCGGATAAATTTTCACATATAAACAAGGCCTGAATCTGATTTGAGGAAATCGGAATCCATGTGATTTTCGCCTGCTTACATGTACATAGGTCATATCCGATGTGAGCCACATAGGAGAAAAGAATCAGAATTGAGTCACTTGAACAGTGCAGTGTAAATGCAGCCTTAGATTCTTTTTTTACAGAGGAAGTTTCAGGAATCTCTTCATGATGCTGGTGGACGAGGAGATTCCCCCAATGTGTAAAGCACTTTGAGTGTCCAGAAAAGCGCAATATAAATGTAGGGAATTATTATTATTTACATAAATTATTATTTACATAATTATTATTTACATAATTATTATTTTCTACATTTTTTGTAGATTAAAATGTTATATATAATAAGGCATATTATGTATAATCACCCCCTCTGTAAAAACCTCACAGAAAAAAAATTTTTTTCAAGCTGTGTGTATCAAGCTGTGTGTATGTAAGATGCTGAAGTGGAGACTTATGCTGCATCTGCATTCACACCAAATGCAGAAGAAGCGTCAAGCATGAGTGATTTACACTGCAATAGACATCCTGCGGCATGATATGCGCAAATGGAGCGAATTGCATGAATGGCACTGCGCGAATGACACGCCTAACGTCAAGTTCGAAAATCTAAACTTCAGCAGACATTCGCGCCTCGTTAACCAATCAGGATTTTGCTCTTGTGGGGGCTTTATTATGCCGTAGCGCCTGTTGTTAGTGTCTTAGGGGAAAATCCTCCTGCCTACACCAACAACAGTACATCAAACTGGGCTCAGCTCGGGCAGAAGCACCGCTAAACGCTTCCATCATCAAGGTTAAATTTCTGGAAGAGTTCATGAGCCCACAGAGCTGGGCGCACCTCTGAAAAAAATCTAGTGAACTCGGGCACGGCTCCAAACGAATTGAGGCTCTTTTTCAGCCTTCATAAAGCGCATAAACACGGCTAACCTCTCAATAAAATCCATGCTGGCCATTTAGCAATGAAGCTAGAGTCACCAGGCAGACAGAAGCCCTGCCCATCACGCAAATCTGCGTCTATTGCTCAGTGAATTTGACACGCGAATGAAGCGGATTTGACGCACAAATGAAGCGGATCTGACGCACGAATGAAGCGAGTAAACTCAAATGTTCACGCGTCTAATTACGCGCGAATAGCATTCCGCGTCTGATGTGAACACAGCATTATAGTTCAATTGTTGGAGAAAAAAACTCATGAGAAAAATCTGTGATAATTTTATTACAATAATATAAACACAAACAGTTAAAGTGCGCAAAATCTCAAAATTGATAGATTCATGAAAAAGAGAAAAAAATAGACACAAAGATGCATTGAAAGTGAACTTACAGTGCTAATAATGCAATGAATGTATCTGTGTGTCTGTGTGTGTGTGTGTAAAGGAAGAGCCAAGACTTTATTTGCATTTCAAAAGCCTATACACATATCCTCTGATCTCTAGACGAGACACACACAGGGCCTATGCTCAAGTTTGTTTCCATGGAAACCAGTACTTGAGAGGCTGTGCAGTAGCAGGAGCTCTGTCTCCCGCTGGGTGAAGGACGGCATCAGTAAAATTGCATGAGGCTAAATGAGAAAGCACTGACGCCGTAAACGCATCCATCATCCTTAACCTCTTTCTGACCCTTAGAATTAAACGGACTACTGTACCTTTAAGATATGCAAATGAGCTCTTTTTTTTTTGATTAGCTAAGCTCTGCGCCCTGGCTAACTCTGCATGTAAACTGTGTTAAAAAAAAAATCATTCAATTATTTGGTTAGTGTGACTTTAAGATATGCAAATAAGCTCTACTATAATTAGCTAACCTCCGTGTACCTGCAAACTTTCATTTAATGATGCAGGAACAAAAAAAAAATCATGTTTTTCATTGCATGATTTGGTTAGTGTGCCTTTTAGATATGCAAATGACCTCTGCGTACCAACTAAATTTGCATATAAACTTTCATTTTGTGTTCCAGAGAGAAACGCATAGGTAACACGATTCTGTGGCTATATTGTTATGATATGCAAATTAGCTCCACTTTTTTTGATTAGCTAACCTCTGCATACGGGCAAAATATAAACACTTACATTTAAATGTTCAAGAGAGGCAAAAAACAATGATGTTCTCCATTAAATGGGTTAGTTAATGTGCCTTAAAGACATGCAAATGAGCTTATAAATGCAAATAATGTTATAAATGTATACAAGTTATAAATGTGTCAGATATTTTACCTTTTAAAGGGGGCATGAAATGCGAAATCTAAATTTACATAATTTTTGGATGTAAATAAGAGGTCTAAGTCATCCTAGACATTTCAGAACTCAAGCATTTCTTGTTGCGGTAAAAACAGCCAATATTGAAAACAGTCTGATAAAATGACAGGTTTTGTAATGTTCTAATCTATGATGTAACAGTTTGGATAAACCCCGCCTCCACAGAAGATTGATGCCTTTTACTACACTGCCTGTTTAGCAATGTTAATATGAAAATCTGTGAGCTGATCAGAGCAATAGCTATTTGTTTTAGTCTAAAATCTCCAACCTTCTGACAAGCGTCAAAAACAGCACAGAAAACAGTTTATTACTTCATTTTTATGAAAATGACAGGCTAAAATTATAAGTGGACCTCAGAGAATAATGCAAAATTAAAAAACATGTAGTTCATAATCCTGTTAAGATCTCGCTGCAAATATAACCTTGGATACAGGCAAACTTAAAAACGTGCAAACGTTCATTTAAAGAGCCAGAAAACAATGACGTTATACATTAAATTGGTTAGTCAATGTGCTTTAAAGATATGCAAATAAGCTCTACAGAAAAAAAACATACCTTAACGTATAGGCAAACTAATATATAAAAAATGGTATTAATAATATGCTATAAAAAGTTGTGTGTCAGATATTGTACCTTTCAGGGCAGCATAACATGCAAAATCAACACGTCAAAAATTTTTCAATTATAAGAGGTCCAAGTACTATAAAAACAACCAAGAAGTTTCTGAACTCAGTCATTTTTGTTGCTCTAAAACAGCCTATATGGAACGCAGTCTGGGAAAATAACGGGTTTTGTAATGCTCTACACTATGATGTAGTAGTCTTGATATACCCCGCCTCCACAGAAGACTGATGCCTGCTCCTACTTCATTGCCTGTTTAGCAATGTTAACATGCCAATCAGAGCAGTAGATATTTACTTGAGACTACGATCTGCCATGTTCTGACGAAGATCAAAAATAGCACAGAAAATAGTCAATTAACTTCTAAACTAGGATGTTTTTTATGTAAATGACTAACATTACAAGTGGACCTCGGAGAATAGTACAAAACAGGTAGTTCATAATCCTGTTAAGATATCGCTGCAGATATTTAACATCTGCATAATTGTAAATCGCTATAATGGTACATTGTAAACATACAATGTTAAACTCTAACATAATGTTCAGGTTGACAATCTGCCACAAGATGGCGACAGAGATCACATAATAAGTCCTTAGAGGAGAAAAAGTCGATGTAAATTTCAAACTAGAGCTGATCAAATCAACATTAAACAGGTGACATTCTAAGTTGATCTCTCTCTTTTGTATGTTGTAGTGCTGTATTTAACCCATGGTAATCTTGTAATGTTCGCTTTGCTTTGGCTTTTTCAGGGTTAATTATTGTGATCTGCCGATTACAACAGAGAAATACTGAGAAATTAGTCTTATAATCTTAAAATGTGACCAAATCACCTGATTTGTCATCACTTTAAACATTACACTAGAGAATCATTCAAGTACAAGCACTAAAGTGATGTTTGTGAAGTAGCAATGGTTTCTGCTGTTCTGACGTCAGGTGCAGATGTGTATGAACGGTGAAATAAAGTAGTTCCTCGTACAAAATGATTTTTGTGACTCTCAGTGTTTGGTTTTTTTTTATTTTATTTACACGATAATGCCGTCGAACTCTTGTATAAACGCAATATCACACTTATAGCAGTACAATATGGCTGTATATCGTCACTGGTAGGACACTAAGGCGCTCAACCTGCAGCCTCGAGCCAATGCACACCTCCCACCAGTGCTAATATACAGCCACTTCATACTGCTACAAGTGTGATACTGCTCGTGTATATACACACACACAACACTATGAAACTTCACATGACCAGTTTGATTTCATGTCCAAGACAGAAAGGAAACAAAACCCATAATATCACTCATCTCATCTAGGGTGCCAAAAAACGAGCAAGCTGCCACAGAAGAACATTGTAGAAACAGGCTGAGAATTCAATTTAAGGCCTTTCTGTGAGAAAGCATGTGGGATTAGATGTTGTTTTGGATTTGTTTTACACGTGCACTTTCTGCGTCTCTCATTACTCGGGCCTTTCAGATCCAGATGGACAGGAAAACTTCAGGATCGTCTTAACAGTGGAACCGACCGTGACCTCACAGCGGGAAAACATGGAAGTCATCAGAGTCGGATCGAAAACACTTTTGTTGGCGCTCAACGTCAAAAAAAAAGCATGGCCAAATAATCTTGCATATAAACACATCAGGGTTTCACATGTAAACAGACACAAAACATTGGACGGCATTTGTTTTGGGACCACAACTGACCTTCCAGAAGTTGTCCACTTTTCCGTAAACCAGCGATTGGTTTTGCCGCTTGATGTCGTCGATGTGTTTGACGTCACTGGCGTTCAGATGCTGCTCAACCACGAAGCCCAGGAAACTGTTATCGGGAGTGTGAGCTGTGGGGGAAGAAACAGAACAACCAATCAGAAAAGAGACAATTACATAATTATAAACAAAACCAATGCTAAACTAAATAATACACAATAGTACAATTTTATTTAATTCTAAACAGTATTAATGCATTTCGCATTTTTGTATTACACGATTTCTAAAATGTTATATGTATATAGAAATTAGGCATCCGTTCATTAAATATGCACTAATTTACAGTTTTAGGACAAAAATCCGAACACTGGATGACGTTTTTAACAAACAAATTTTTAAAATTTCATTTTAATGTTCATTAATGCTAAAAATACTGCAAAAAGCCAAAAAAAATGTTTTTTCTAAATTTATTTTGTAGAATAAAATAAAAGCTGGCAAATTATATATTAACAAATCCTTCGGTTAAAACCCTTCAGACTGGAGATATGAATTAAACTGAATTTTGGTGTACACTACCTGACAAATGTCTTGTCGCCTATCCAAGTTTTAGGAACAACAAATAATAACTTGACTTCTAGTTGATCAATTGGTATCAGAAGAAGCTTATATGAAGGACAAAGGCCTCTAGATTACACTTATTTCACCAAAATAAAATATGATCATGTCTTGAATTTTAATTATTTAATTAGGACCGTGAGGTCTGACTTTGCTTAGACAAAAGTCTTGTCACTTAACAGAAATAATGTTCAGTATAGAATATAAAGTCATTGTGCAGTGGAAACAGAATTACTATTGTCTATGACTCCTATGAGCTTGGAGGACTGCATCCATACATCTATGCAATGATTCAAATAAATAAGGTTAATAAAGTCATCTGAAATGGCAGAGAAATTGTTCCTGCAGGACTCTTAGAGTTCATCAAGATTCTTTGGATTCATCTTCAACACCTCCTCTATCTTACCCCATACATGCTCTATAATGTTCATGTCTGGTGACTGGGCTGGCCAATTCTGGAGCACCTTGACCTTCTTTGCTTTCAGGAACTTTGATGTGGAGGCTGAAGAATGAGAAGGAGCGCTATCCTGCTGACAGATTTGCCCTCTCCTGTGGTTTGTATTGTAATGGGCAGCACAAATGTCTTGATACCTCAGGCTGTTGATGTTGCCATCCACTCTGCAGATCTCTCGCACACCCCCATACTGAATGTAACCCCAAACCATGATTGTTCCTTCACCAAACTTGACTGATTTCTGTGAGAATCTTGGGTCCATGCGGGTTCCAGTTTTTGTGATGATTGGCATGCAGTTCAACAGATGATTAACTAGAAGTCAAGTAAGTATTTGTTGCTCTAACAACTGAGATCGACGACAAGACTTTTGTCAGGTAGTGTATGCAAGTATTGCTGAAGTGAAAATTTAAGACTCAATAATAATTTTGAGAAAACTACATTTCAATTGAAATCTACAGACACAAATTGACAAAAAAGGAACATTTAATAAGTGTACTTCAGTTAATGTAAAGTTTCCTTTAAATTACACATCATAAAACAACCAAACACCTCAAACATCTCGAAATGTACAGGTAATTTGGTGGAAAACAATTGTTTTTGACTGCAGCGTTTCATCTTAAAAAAAAAAAAAAAAAAAAAAAGCGGGATCTCGCACTGAACATCAGGACTGTAGTGCCGGAGGGAAGATGTTCAGATTAATTGTGTACAAGTAAGATCTGTGTGGGTGTCCACGTTGCCAAGCGAGGAAATGTTACCATGGCGACAGTAGTCCAAGAGGTCGCCAGGGTAACAAGGCTTGGCAGAGATACACCTGAATGCCATCTGTCTAAAAAATTCAATCCTGAGATTAAGATTTCCTATTTACACACACACACACACACACACACACACACACACACACACACACACACACACTTTAAACATGAATGCGAGTGTGTGTACGTTTTGTGGTTATTGCCTGCGGGAGCGGCTGTAGAGTCTCGTCACGGTTACCCGTCAATCCCAATGAGAATGCAAGATGAAATTCAGAACCCAGGTGGCCCATAATGCAATTTGTGCAATTTTGCAGGACCCATAAATGGTATTTAAATGGGAAACAGGGATTTAGTCTTTCTCCCCGCTGTGGTTACTGTAAATAGCTGGAATAAGCTTGCAGGAGAAAACACACACACACACACACTATTCTCAAGGCAACTGTCAACAGCAATAACAGCTGCCATTGTGAATGAAAGCAAACATTCTATATGGGTTTCTGAAAGATTTTATGAAGAAAGAAGCAAGGTTTGCTGAAGTCTTTTTCTGAAGACATCATAATAAGCGTGACTGTAAACTAAACATACTTTATGAGAAGAAATCCTTACCAGCGTAAACAAAAACACAGCCGATTTTATTCTCTAGAATTCTGTGCTTCAGTGAATAAAGTCCCCGGACATTTCCTGAAATCTTTTCCTTTAAAATTGATTTCAGAGAATTTACATACTTTTTGTAATTCAGTGATTCTATAAGTTGTACAAGATTTTCTCAAGTCCATTCGTTAAGAAGTTGCAACTAAAAAAACAACAACAATAAAAAAACCTCTACGTTATTTTCAGATTTCTGTGCTTCCAAAACACTGATGTCTCACAAGAATGAAAGCAATACTTTTTTTGTTGTTGTTTTTTAGGAATTCTGCAGTTACGTAAACTTGTAGTAGATTTGCTGCAATCATTTTCTGAAAAAAAAAAGAAATAAATTTGCACAAGAGTATCAAGTATTTTATCAAGTATTTGATAAAATTTTAATAAAACCATAAAAAAACTTGAAGTGGAGATTTTTGTTGTTGGCTTGACTGAAAATGAATCTTTTTTGTGTTATTTATCATATTTTCCTTAACCCTTTCACATGGAAGATCACACTGGTGTGACCAGCCTTGGCTGATCCCTGAAGTGTACGATCACACCAGTGTGATTAGAAGTTCAGAGTGCACGTCATCAACTGCTAAAATGTTAATCTGACGGCACATGCTGAGGCACAGAAAGATGTGTGGAGCGCTTGTTATAATTCACAATATATCAGTGCTTAGTGCAGAGTATTTTAGGTTTCAGACATTTAGACAGGGGCTGTTAATTCTGACTAACTGTATTTTAGAATTATATTATATATTATACACAATTATATATAATATATTTTTACATTACCGTGAGGGTTGGTTTTATGGTAGGGGTAGACGTTAATAAAATACAATTAATGAGTAATTTATAAATTATAACATTGTATCCCTTTAAGCAACAACGGCAACACCCAATAACTGACATAACAAATAATATAATCATTATTAAGCCATTTAAAAGACAAAATTTATGTTCTATCACATATTGAGAATTAGACATCTCACAATATAATAAGAACATTTGTCAATACTTACAGAAATGGGCAAAAGAATCAAAATACAATATATACAAAGATCATTAGGGCTATGTATATATTGTATACATACTATGTATATGTTTATATTGTATACTGGTACATGTGGTACACGACGCATCATAATAAGAACTTTAGAACGCAAGGAATTTCAAGTAACGGTCACAAAAAACAAAAACTCATGCAGGAGGGTCAGCTGGAGTATTTAAAACTCACGCATTAAAGCGTTAAGAAGTTGAAAATAATTGTTTTAGAGTTCTGTGTTTACTTAAAGTCATAAAATTTCATTGTCGGCAAAAACAAAATCAAACATTCTTTTTCGAATACTGCGCTTACATAAAGTCTTGAGATTTGGGTGTAATTTTCTTTAAAAGTATTTACTGGTATGAATAAAAATGTAAATTATTTCTGGAATTCTACTGTATGATGCTATAAAAGGGCGACGGCTCAGTGGTTAGCACTGTCGCTTCACAGCAAGAAGGTCACTGGTTAGAGTCCCAGCTGGGTCAGTTGGCATTTCTATATGGAGTTTGCATGTTCTACCCGTGTTTGTGTGGGTTTCCTCCAGGCGCTCCGGTTTCCCTCACATTCCAAAGACATGCGCTATAGGTGACTTGGATGAACTAAATTGTCCATAGTGTGTGGGTATTTCCCAGTACTGGGTTGCAGCTGGAAGGGCATTGGCTGTGTAAAACACATGCTGGAATAGTTGGTGGTTCATTTCGCTGTGGTAATCCCTGATAAATAAGGAACCGAATGAAAATGAGTGACTCTATAAAATCGATTCAAATCAAACTATTGTGGTTAATAAAAATCAAACAGTCTGTCTGGGGTTCAGAGTTTCTGCTTCTACGGAAAGCTCAACTTGTTTTCTGAAGCAAAAAAAGGGAAGGTTTGAGATTTAATTGTGAAAGAGAAAAAAGCCTTTTGCAATGTGAGGCAACGACAACACACAGAAATGCTGAAGAGACAAATGACGAGGTTTACAGGCATCAGTGACATTGTCAGTAATTACAAGAAACGCAGGAGTGTGTGTTGGTTAGAGGCATTTCATTAGGTAGTTTAAGAGGAGTGAAACCAAAGCATATTACACACACACACAATTAACATACGCACTTACAAAAACAAACAAACGCACACACTCGAGCACATACAGTTGAAGGCTGAATTATTACCCTCCTGAATTTTTAGCCTTTCTAAATATTTTTTCCCAATTAATTAGGCAAGTCATTGTATAACGATGGTTTGTTCTGTAGACAATCCAACACAAATATTGCTTTAGGGAGCTAATAATATTGACCTTAAAATGGTTTTAAAAAATTTAAATCTGCTTTTATTCTATACTAAAAAGAAATGAGACTTTCTCCAGAAGAAAAAACATTATAGGAAATACTGTAAAAAAAACCTTGCTATGTTAAGCATCATTTGAGGAATATTTTAAAGCACAAAAAAATAAAAATAAACAATATTTATTAAAAATAAAATAAATAAATAAAACTCAGAGGAGGGCAAATAATTTCAACTTACATTTACAATTGTTCATTCACACACATCTGCAATCATTTTTGTCATAACATTTGGCATATGGTGAACTCTCTCTCTGCAATTAATAATTCAACAGCATAAAGGGATGACGGCAAAATTAAGAGAAAGAGTTAT